GGTTGTACATAATGGATTGCAGTTTTAGGTGCATCATCTTTTTATTATACTGTTATATAAATGTTTGTTTTATTCCACAAATTAAAAATTAAATAAATAAAAAAGAAACAAAATCCCAACCCTAAAGGAGATTACATTCTAATTGAGGAAGATAGGGCATAAAATAGGGAGCTGTAAGGTATGGGGGCAGGGGAAGGAAAAGGATGACATTGAAGAAGATACATTACCAGAAGTTTTGCCACTGTATCCTAAGAACCACAAGGTCCAGCCTTTCCATCTGACTTTTGACTAAAACTTTCTGTATCTGTTGTGTCCCCCATTAGAATGTGATCTCGTAAGACCAAGGACTGTTCTGTTTTTCTAATAGTATCCCCAACACTTAGCACAGTGTTTTGAATACAGTAAGCACTTAATAAATGCTTTTTCATTCCTTAAAAAAAAGAATATATGTCTTACTTACTCATAGTTGTAAGAGGCACATAGTCTGATTCTAATTTTTTAAAAGATGGTCCTTAATATTAAGTTCATGTATCCATTTAGAATGTATTATAAAGGGTGGTATAAGATGTTGGTATAAGCCTAGTTTCTGCCAGACTGCTTTCCACTTCTCCCAGCAATTTTTATCAGTTAGGAGTTTTCCCCTAGGTAATCTATGTCTTCCTCCTTATGGGACACTAAGTTAATGAGTTCTAGTGTTTTTGAATCTCCCTTTCTTTTCTGTTGATTTGTCTCTCTGTTTTTTAACCAATAACCAGATAATTTTGGTGACTGTCACTTTATAATACAGTTTGAGGTCTGGAAGTGCTGCCTCCCTTCATTCTTTTTGTATAATTTCCCTTGATATTCTAGATCTTTTGTTTCTTGGAAAGAATTTTATTTTATCAAGCTATGGGAATTATCCTTTTGGTAATCTGATCACTCTAATACTAAAAGTTTAAGTTAATTTGGCAATATTGTTGTTTTTATTATATTGGCATAGCCTAGCCATGAGCCCTGGATATTCCTCCAGCTATGTAGGTTGTTCTTTAATTCTTTAAGGAGTGCTTTGTAATTGAATCTATACTAGTTTTGTGTGTGAGTGTATTTTGGGAGGTCGATCACCAGATATTTTATGCATTTTACAGTTATTTGTAATGGGATTTCCCTTTCCATTATTGCTTCCTGTGTTCTGTTATATAGAAATGTTGATTTTTGAGGATTTATTTTATACCTTACAACTCTGCAGAAGCTATTACTTGTCTCAATTAGTTTCTTAGCTGATTCCTGGGGTTTTCCAAGTAAACCCCCATATCATCAACAAACAGTTTTATTTCCTCTTTACCTATGTTTATTCCTTTAATTCCTTTCTCTTGTCTTACTGCTATTGCTAGCATTTCCAGAACTATATAGAATAATAATGGGGGAGAGTCAGCATCCTTGCTTCATTCTTATATTTACTGGAAAAAGTTTTAGTGTATCTCCATTGCATATGATCCTTGCTATTGGTTTTAGATAGATTTTTTTATAATATTAAAAAAGTCTCTCTATGCTTATACTTTGTAGGGTTTTTAGCATAAAAGAGTGTTCTACTTTGTCAAAGTTTTTTCCACCATCTATTGAGATGATCATGTGGTTTTGGGTGATTTGATGTTTAACATTATTTTGATCATTTCCCTAATGTTGAACCATCCTCACATCCCTGGTATGAATCCCACCTGATCATGATGAACAACTTTTTGGATAAATCACTGTACTCTGTTTAATGACATTTTGTTTAAAAATCTTTAGTCAATATTCATAAATGATATTGATCCATAGTTTTCTTTCCATGTTTTAGCCTTCTTTGGTCTAGGTATTAGAGCTATATTTATCTCGTAAAAGAATTCTGGTAGGATTTTTTTCTTCAGTTTTTGTGATTAATTTGTGAAGAATGGGTAGTAACTATTCTTTAAACATTTGATGGAATTCTCCTGTGAATTCATCAGGTCCAGAGGTTGTCTCTTTCCTTTTGGTAGTTCCTTCATTACTAGATCTACTTCTTTTTCTGAGATTCATTAAAATTCCATTTTTCCCTATAATATTATATTATTTTACTGGGTAAGTTATTCTTGGTTGTAAGCCTTTGCCTTTTGAAACAAAGTATTCCAAGCTCTCCACTCTTTTACGGTGATGGCTACTAAAACATGTCATCCTAACTGGCTCATCAATACTTAAATTCCTACTTTCTGGCTTCTTGCTGTATTTTTCTTTGACCTGTATTTGGGCTATAATATACCTTGGAATTTTCATTTTAGGGTTTCTTTCAGGACAATGATGTACTCTATTTCTACTTTGCCCTCTGATTCTAAGAGATCTGGATTATCTTCTTCTATGATTTCTCAAAATATGATGTCTAGGGTTTTTTTGGGAAGGGGGGAGAGAATGGCCTTCAGTTGTTCCAATGATTTTTACATTTTCTCTCCTTGACCTGTTTCCTGGCCAGCTGATTTTGCAAAGAGATACCTCACACTTTCTTCTATGTTCTAAGTCTTTTGACTTTTAAAAATTATTTTTTGTAGACCATTTTAATTGCTAGAAAGGTTTCCCATGAGAATGTGAGCTCTTTGAGAGCTAGGACAATGGTTTTGCCCTTTTTTGTACCCCATCATTTAGCATAGCATCTGGAACATAGTAAACACTTAAAATACTTGTCAATTTATATTGTGCCAAAATTTGCCTCCCCATCACTTCCACCCATCACACAGGTATGTGATGCAGGGCATAATGCTAGATTTGAGTAAGACCCAAGTTCAAATCCTGCCTTAGACACACTAGCTGTGTGGCCTGGGGCAAGTGTCATTCAAGCCTCTCAGCCTTCATTTGTAAAAAGGAAGATTAAAATAGCACCTATTTTACAAGGTTGTGATGAGGATTAAATGAGACAATGTTTGTGAAGCACTTTGCAACCCTTAAAGTGCATTATAAAAGCTATATATAATCAGTTTTTGTTCTGCCTTCTTAGGCAAAGAATAAAACGAATCTCTTTCACTTAACTTTTGATAATTGAAGATTTCTATCATGTCCCTACTATCTTCTTTTCTCCAAGCTGAACAGTTCCTTCAATTGATTCTAATTTTGCATGGTTCAAGATTCCTTCATTATTCAGGGTCACCCAGCCCAAGACCTATTCCAGCTTGTCAACATCCCTTCTAAAATGAGTTTCCCAGACCCAGTCAGCACATGCCAGACATAGTCTGAACCAACAGTTTCATCTCCCTCTTCTAGACATTTAGCTTCTATTAACAAAGCCTAACAACTGAACTAGCTCATTACATTGTCTCTATTAAATTTCACTGTTTGCTTCAGCCTGTTTCCACAGGTCCGTTTAGCTTCTGATTATATTATCCAATGGATTAGCTATTTGTTCCTGCTTTCTGTCATTCACAGATTAGGTAAGCAAGCCTGTTCTATATCTTTATCCAAGTCAGTAATTAAGACACTGAACAAGACAGTGCCAAAGGCAGAACCTTGTGGCATCCCATTAGAGACTTCCTTCTAGGTTGTCATAATAACCATTCATTGGATTAGGTCATTCAATCATTTCTCTGAATCCACCTATTATCTAGTCCACAATTTCCATCTTGGGCAAAAAGATATTAAAGGTTGGACTACTGGACCTACTTTGATACAATGTCTGCTTGGGAAATATTTGTTGAAAAAATAAGCAAAGTTATCATCTCATTTTTAATAGCCAATGACTTCTACAGATGTAGAGAATGTTCTTCTTTTGGACAAAGAATTCTAAGTTGAGAACAAGGGAATTAGAGAAAAATCATCTTGTCTTTCTTTTCTAATCTATAAGTAAATAGGAAGAGGAAGATGCAAATTAGCTTCATAACCTAATATTTCAAGTTTTATATACTGCCTGACATAGTGTATATACATTTTTTAAATTTGCATTTATAATAAAAGCTTAAAAACTCAATATTTTTTGTTTAAATTATTAAATATATTTATTGATAAAAGAAAATATCCAGATTAGATCTTTATGCTTTGAACAATGAAACAATGTAAATGTCTGATATATCTGGTAATGGGTGGTAAACACATGGCAAAAGTTATCACTCAACTCTCCCAATGTCTTTAAGAAAAAGCAGTATCCATTTGTTTTGTTAAATGAAATAACCAAATCACAATTCATTTTCTGATGCAGCTGCAAAATTGCTCATATACTCTCTTACATACACACACACACAAGAGGTAGCCAGGAAGACCTAGGCTTAAGTCCTACCTCTTGCACATGCTGGATGTGACCTCTCAGAACCCTAGGCAACTCTCTAAGACTACAGATCACAGAAGGTGTTTGCCTACATTGGTAAAAGAACATTTCCTCATTTTTTTTAGTTCCCTATGCCAGTAAAATCACAAGTTCTATCCCTATTCTGATTATTCTTGGAAAAAAAAGAGAGATGAGATCTGTGATTTCACCAGTATAGGGAACTCCAAAGTAAGAAAACACTCTCTGTCAATGCAGGTGAGCACCTTCTCTACAAACCATAATCTCAGACTATCACCTAAGAGGCAACTTGCCCAAGATCCCATAGCCAGTATGGATCAGTCAGACTTGAGTCCAGGTGTTCCTGCTTCTGGGGCCAGCTCTCCATCTACTACGTAGTAACAATGACAACAACAACGACAACATTTACTGGGTGCTTTAAGGTTTGGAAAGTGTTTCACATATACTATCTCATTCAAATCTAATAATAATCCCATAAGGTGTTATTAATATCTTCACTTTACAGATGATAAAACTGAGTCAGATATACTCCTCAAAATATATTGTTGCTTTAAAATTTACACCAACTTCTAAAAATGAAAACTCTGAATTGTGAAGATGTATTACAGTGTATTCAGTAATGATTACATACTTTTGTAGGGAAAAACTGACTTAATTTAGTATAACAAATCAGATCCATCCAAATTTGACATGTGCCACCTACCAATATTCTAATGTCATTAATTTTATTAGGCAAAACAATCTGTAGTTTTTAGGTTTTATTTTTTAAAATCATTTAAATTTAAAGTTACAGTAACTAAGAAAAATCAAAATCTCATGGCATATGACTTTTCATGATTAGTTTTAAAATATTATCAAACAAAACCGAGAAGCTATTAATTTCTGTGAAAATAGAGGCTTAAATAATTCTCTCCAGAATGCCTGGTTTATATAGATGATTCTTTCTTACAGAATTCAAAACATGTAATTTCTAAATCATTGATTTATTCCTGGAAAAAAAACCTTGATGGTCATTTAGTCCAACCCTTCTTGAGGAAACTGAGGCCCAGAGAAATCAAGTGGCTTGCCCAAAATTAAAGGAAGTGACAGACGAATGATTTATCAAATAACATGAAACATATTACTTCATTTATCCTCACAACATACCTATGATAGAAGTAGGTTTCATACATTGTTATCTGTTTTAAATGGTGAACCTGAGGCATAGAGAGGCCACTCAAGGAAAGCTCAAAATACATTTAGATTCATTGAATAAGTATACTCACTAACATTTTTAAAAGAGAATCTGGCTGACAATAAAACCCAGTACATTTTTTAAGATAACACAAAGGTAGTGAATTTTTATTGCACCATTATATTAAAAATGTCTGAACTTTTAAGGCCCCTAATTTGTATTCTTTAGTTAAAAACCCATAGGAAAACTTCCTACAATTTTATTACATCCTGAAAAGTCCAAAGCTGGTCTTCTCAATTGGGGCATTGAGGGTTGCACTAATACTGAGACCCAAGACCAGTCTGGTATCAGCTGGGTCAATAATTCCATCATCCCACAGCCTGAAAGAGAAGAAATCATACATGACAAATAAGAACAACACCAAAGCTATTATCAATATACAATACTAAAGGGATGATTTTCCTGCCCTTACTCACCAACATCATCACATTGGTCAGCATCTATGTGGCATACTCCCTGTCTACATAAACAGTTTTAATAAAATATCAAAAATTTTTAATCATATGCCTAGGAGAACATTTCCTTTTTTAAGAATTAAATGTTCTATTAACACAAACCAACTAGACTTGCTTAATAACAACTTACATTTAAATTCATTTCAATGCATAAAGTATCATAATACTTTTTTAGTTTGTCCCCCTGTTTGTGTAAGGATTCTCTTATCCATTCATTCTCATTTGCCTTTACTCATATAATTGTAGCTAAGTGTATTCTGTGTTCTTCTGTGATTTTTTAAAGTCCGAATTATTTATAAAGATTCTTCCAGAGTTCTTTGCAAACTATATACTTGGTCACTTTAATTAGTTTACAATATTCCATTATATTAATGTACCACAATTTCTTTAACCTCTCCCTACAGCTCAGTGAAAGTTACAAAAGTAGACCTATGCTTTGACACAATAATTCCTTTGTTAGGAATTTTTTTAAAGCCCTCTGTTCAAAATTCATCATAGTAGCACTACATGTAATTGGGGAAAAAAAGGAAGCAAACTATTCCTGGAGTCTTCTGCAGATGGATAAATAAAGAAATACATGTTAAGTATCTCATCCCAAGCCACCAAAGAAATTAATACCAAGTATGAGGCATAGAAACTACTCACTACAATAGTTCTCAAAATACTCTGTCCAAAGCCTTCATTTTCAAAAAGGCAGCTATCTGCAGGTAACATAAGTGGACGCATTCAAGCTCACATGATCTTGCTGGGGACACACACAAACAAGTCTGGCAAATACATTTAGCCAAATGAGAAGTTGTCTATCATCAGGTACTGGGCTAGTATTGTTTGGAGTAGAGATTCTTAACAGTTCCATGATAGGGTTTAAAAAAAAAAAACATTTTCTATTTAAGTGACAACTGATAGGAATAAGTGAAGTAGGAATAAGTGAAGTTTGAATAGGTCAGGAGACTTTTTTCCCCCAAATTGAAAACCTTCTCATTTTAAGAGCTTATTATTCTCACAAGTTTTAGTGGCCTTAGCTTAGTTACCAATTCCAAAAGATACATGTTTCTAAGCAAAAATAATTTAAAATTAACATTTTTATGGGTTGCCTACCAAAAACTCATACCAATCGAATAGCTGACTATAGTTCAACCAGGCTAAGTCTAAAGGCCAAAGGTCAGGTTATGGAATTGGTACCTAAAAGGAGGGAATTAGATAACAGCAACACAAGAAGATAAAGGGGAAATCTCTGAGGATTTACTGTACCCTATATGTATTTTTGCACACTTGATATTGCTGCTAGACTTTATAATTTTTAAGCACACTCACAAAAAAAAAATTTGTTCTTTAAATCTACTTGCTGTAGAGTAGGCTTTTATCCTCTACCTCTCCCTTTTCCTAACTGATGGGATATGCTTACTTATCACTACTAAGGGGAAGTACACTAAATATAACACAGGAAAAGTAAGAATAAACAAGGAAAAGAAAGAAATAATACATTCTGTTTCATCTCAGACTTCAGTCTAGAATCTCACTTAGAAGGAAGACAATCAAGGAAGGAAGCAAGAAATGCTTCCTTGGGGCAGCCAGGTGGTGCAGTGGATAGAGCTCTGGCCTTGGAGTCAAGAGGACCGAGTTCAAAACCAGCCTCAGATACATGATATTTACTAGCTGTGTGACTCTGGGCAAGTCACTTAACCCCAATTGCCTCACCAAAAAAAGAAATGCTTCCTTTAGTGGCATTCATTGGACTTAAAGTCAGGAAAAGGACATTAAAAAGGGATGAAAAATGAAGCTTAGACAAAACTTCATATTTCATTCAGTTAAATATAATGACTGAAATTCTAGAAAGGAAGTATTTATTTAAAGGAAATTGAAATTTAAAATTTAAATTTAAAGGAAACGTATTTTAAAAGGAAATACATTCAGTATATTAAACAGTTCAATCTGCCAGGGAAGGAAAAAGAAAAAGACATCACGATTAGATTTTTAGACAAAAGCATAAGTACATATAATATATATAGTTATTAACCATTTAACAAATATTTATTAAACACCATGTGAGATGAGGAGGTGTATGTGTGTGTGTGTATACATACATATATATCCCACATAGTATTTAATAAATATTTGTTGAATAAATAATTGAATAGACTGCTTTTCTACTTGTACTGTATGTACTCTTTAGTTGTATGCAAAAAATTATACAATATATTTACATATATTATAATTGCATATATTTCTATATGTGCATGTATATATGCATGTATATACATGTGCACGTATGAATGATATATAGAACCTAAGACAATGCCGTTCATATAGTCCTTCAGTCATTTTTCAGTTGTGTCCAACTCTTTCTGACCCCATTTCGGGTTCTTGGCAAACACACTAGAGTGGTTTGCCATTTCCTTCTCCAGCTCATTCTACAGATGAGGAATTGAGGTAAAAAGGATTAAGTGACTTGCCCAGGGTCATACAGCTAGTAAGTGTCAGAGGCCAGATTGGAACTCAGGAAAAGTCTTCCTGACTCCACACCTGGCACTCTATCCACTGCACCTCCTAGCTGCCCTGCCCTTCATATAACAGACACTCAATAAATGTTTTCAGATAATGATGCACACCAAACACTTGAAAGGAGAAGCTACAAGAGACTGGGAAAGGAGGTGTGATGGAGATTTGTGTTGGTGAACAGATGAATAACCAATGAAAATCAAACGTAGTGCCATAGCAATCTACAGCTATTAATGAAAAGATGGCTCAAAACTGGGGTTCTAATGCTACTAAGTCCTACTGTTAGTGCCTTCACTTTGAGATTACCTCCAATTTATCCTGCGTATACCTTGTGTGTACATAGTTGTTTGCATATTGTCTCTCCCATTAGACTGTGAGCTCCTTGAGGGCAGATACTGTTTTTGCCTTTCTTTGTAACTTCATGTTCCCAGGACAGTGCTCAGTGCTTGATAAATGCTTGCTGACTATTAACTGAAACTGGCTAAGGTGAAGATCTGCCATAGTGGTAACCACTTTTATTGAAGGCCTTAGGACTAGACTCATACTTCAATTCTTATCAAAGTAATCTTTAGATTCTATGCCAGAGCATAATCTTAGTGCTTCAGGTTCTATTCCCTTGATTTTATTTGTATAAAACTAAATAATACAGGCAAATGTCCAGAAAAATACTCACCAGTCCTTGCAGGATTGTTTTGATAAGAAAGGAAGCTTGAGTCTACTCCTATGGCAAAACCTATTTGATCATTTTCATTATTCCTCATACATATTTATAACATGTGAGGTACCAAACAGATCTATCTACACTTTAATTACAAAATAATTTAAACTGTTGGTCCATTATGAAATTCTTAATACTAGAGAGAAAGCTTTTCATCACTTTTGACACTATTTTAAAGGACCTTTTTTTAAAGAAACAATTTGCTTTTCATTACCAACCTAAAAAGATGGTCTAGCACTAAGACGGGGAAATATCACTTTTTAAAGGTTATTAGTGGGTGACAGTTTTCCTCTTATTTAAACAAACTTCCTTCAGTATCCAACCACAGCATCAATTATTAATTCACCTATTACAGTTCTATCGACAGAACATGAATCAAATCCAGGCTTATAAAACATTCATAAGTGGGGGCTCTAAAGTAACAACAGCAAATAGAAGAAAACTTCCTATATAATTTGTTAGAATGTAATTGATTAAACTCCCCCTTTGAAATAAGCAAATTAAAATGGCAGAAAGAGAACAGGGCTGGTTAATAGTGTTCATTAATAAACACTGCTCCAGGTAACAATTTTTAATAAGACACTTGATTAAAGTTTGATTAGAAAAAAGCTAAGAAGAAGACAACTGACATCCCACTTGAATAACCTATTAGAATTGAGGAGAATTCAGTATGCTATGACAACAGATGAGCAAAGAGGTTTCTGAAAGATCAGAACCAACTAATCAAGATCAGGTTCCTGATCAAATCTAAGTTTAAATAGGACAGGAAACTAATATGCTCAGGCCTCAGAAGGCCTGAGGCAGAAAAACTTTTTAATCTTAGTTTCTGCAGGAAAAGAAAGCTTATCAAAGCACTTTTCCCCTCTCACATCCTAATTCACCAGGCCATGAGCACCTACTGATGCCTGACCCAATAACAGATTGACCTTACTGTCTTTTGGGTGTCTATTTCCAGAGAAATCTCCAAGATTTTTTTATTCCCCTCCTCTGGATTTAATCTATTTTCTTTAAAAAAATAAAGATTCATCTGTCTTTAAGAATTACAGTCATGCAATTCCAAAGAACTTATGATGAAAAATGCTATCCACCTCCAAAGAAAGAACTAATGGAGTCTGAATGCAGATTTAAGCACACTTTTTTTTTACTTTATTATTCTTGGTTTTTTGGTCTGTGTTTTGCAGCATGGCTAATATGTAAATGTTTTGCATGACTGCACATGTATAAACTATATCAAATTGCTTGCCTTCTCAAGGAGAGGATGGAGGGACAGAGGGAAATAATATGAAACTCAGTATTTTTTTAAATGAATGTTAAAAAATTTTGTTTACATGTAATTGAGAAAAATAAAATAAAAATTAAATGTAAAAAGAAAAACAATTACAGTCATGCTTAAATTCTTTAGAAGCAATCTTTAGGTTCTGTGCTAAAAAACTGCTTATTTCAAAGACGACTACTCCAAGAGATAGTAGGACAAGAGAAATGCAAATTAGGCAATGTTTCCTCACAGAAATATATCTCAACTGTATCTGTCAATCCACCCACAATCGTTTGAGTAAATTACTGTACTAAGTGGCTATACAGTGTATGTTTTATCTTAAGTCAGGGTCCATATTCCTTCTCTGCTTCCATGACCAGTACAAGGGAGAAT